CAACAAATGACGTCCGAATCCGGCGAACGGAGGACGGCGAGGCTCGGTACACCTGCACCGGAACAACTGGCTTGCCCCCGCTGCGACTCATCCAACACAAAGTTCTGCTATTACAATAACTACAACCTGTCACAGCCCCGCCACTTCTGCAAGTCCTGCCGCCGGTACTGGACGCGAGGTGGCTCGTTGCGCAACGTCCCCGTCGGCGGTGGTACAAGGAAATCAGCCTCCTCCCACAAACGCTCCCGCACCACCTCCACCGCCTCCGCTCCCACCTCTACCTCAAGCAGCTCGGTTTCTAATGTAATGACTCAAGCTCACGACCCGATTGATACGAACCCGATTTCCGTGGGTGTAAATTCCGGGCCGGGTTCTTTAGTGAACTTGAATGATTCTGTTCTTCCAGGGACAGAGAGCTTCAGTTCTTGGTTTAGTGGACAAATGGGTATGGGTGATGGGATTTTACCTTTGAATGGAAACGGGCCTGGGCCGGGTCTGAGTTATGGGCTTGGGGTTTTGGACTGGCACATGGAGGCAGTGGGCGGCGAAAATGGTGGCGCCGCCGTTACTGGTGGGTCAACTGGTTGCGACACATGGCAGATGAATGAGACGGCAGAGGGTGATTGCTTTGCTTGGCCGGAACATGCTATTTCTACATCCACACTTGGGAAAGGTCTTAATTGAACCCCAAAAAAGGAGGAAAAATTAAAAAAATGGATTTCCATTTTGCCATTTCTAGAAAATGGGAAGAAAAAAAAGGGGTTTGTTTTATGTTTTGTGCTGTTCAAAGTAGTAGTACTTTTGATAGGGTTTAATGGTACAACTAGTCATGAGATTTTGGTAAATGTACAAGATTAGACTGCATATGGTTTTATAGAAGTAGAGCTATTAGTATAAGAGATGATATTTCTATGGAGTTGTATTGTAAATGTCTTGAGATATGTTATAGCTCAACAATATCAAAGATCAAAGTAATTTTGGGGAACCCTTTTTATTTTGCAATTATTTAATACTTAAATTTTTTGTTTTGACCTTTGTTTTTGTTTGGAGTGATCAAGGAAACAAAACTTTTGGGGGCATGTTTAAGAAATGTAAGATTAGTCTCTATGTTCTTCAATGATAAGTTAAATTAAACGAGTCCGTTTGAGTTTAATATTTAATCACACGTGCCACGTAGATGAGTGTTCAATAACGGTTGTTCTGCATAGTATTATTCATTGTAGATAATTCAATTCAAGTATATATGTAGTTTGTCAATGTCAGTAGGTTCAATTTTGTTTCGGGGTTGTTGAGTTTAATTATGAGATGAACATTCAACTATCATGCAGTTGATTTGAGTGTATAGAGATCGACTTATATATGGAAGACATAAATTACGATTCATTAGAGTGTATCAATCTCGAAATTTAAATACCATGAGTAACTTTCTTGATGCAGTTTCTTAGCGAGTAAAGTCGAAACAAAATAATTCTCAATGTGATCGTTATAATTAAGATAGTGAGAGTCTTTACCTAAGTGGGGTACACTAAAAGTGTTTGGATAGCAACTCTAGAGCAATGAATGCCTCAAGACTAGCAAGATGAAATTGTACCTTACAAAAGCCTAAAATGGTGCAAAATCTTCAAAATGAGGTAGATGTCAAGCACAAATAGAAGATCTTGAATGACACACCACCGACCTTGGCCCATTTGATTGAAAATAAATATCATATGAATCAATCAAACCTCATTAATGTTTTATGAATAATTCACTAGACACAGACTGGATTTTACTTCTTATTTCTATTTCTCTGTCTTTCATCTAATCCGGACCCCTACCCACCACCCACCATTGAAAGGGTTCTTTCATGCCTAGTTTGGCTTGACTTTCTTGAGATGTACTTACATGGCAGTTGCTTTAGCTCGTGTAACTTGGAGTAAAATAGTTTTTAAATTTTTTTTTTTCAAAATTCAGTTCCAATTACACATTTTTCAATAAAATAATATTATATGTAAATCGAAAAAAAATTCTTCATTTTTATCCACACATTCTCCAAAAATTACTATTCAAAAATATATTTTTTCTTCAAAATGGGGCTGGCTCAAACAAAATGTTAATTTTGTTGGGACTTGCAATAAATAATTCGATCCGAATAATGTCATCTAACACCACGAACGAGACCCTCGCGAAATAGATTTGCTTCC